ATGATACCTTTCTCAGAATATCTGAACTCCATCCCTAGAAAGTATGTCATTTTGCCTAGATCAGTCATTTCAAATTCATTCATTAGAACCTTCTTGAACTTGGCTATCTCATGTTCAGAACTTCCAGTCAATAGTATATCATCAACATATAAACATACCAGAGTCATATTGCCTTCAGAAGTATGCTGAACATAGACACCGTACTCCATCTCACATTTCTGAAAGCCTTGCTTCTTGAAAAATGAATCAATCTTCTGATTCCAAGCTCTGGGCGCTTGTTTCAGTCCATATAGAGCTTTGTACAATCTGTACACCATCCCTTCCTGATTCTTTTTCACAAATCCAGGAGGTTGTGACACGTAAACTTCTTCTTCTAATGGACCATTCAGAAATGCAGATTTTACATCTAAATGCATCAGAGGCCAATTCCTGTTAGCAGCTATTGCAATCACCATTCTGATTGTTTCATGTCTTGCTACAGGTGCAAACACTTCAGAATAATCCAGCCCAGGTTTCTGTAGAAATCCTCTGGCTACCAACCTTGCTTTATGTTTGCCAATTGAACCATCTGGCTTTAACTTCTGCTTGAAAACCCATCTGACGCTGATGGCTTTCTTGTCTTTTGGAAGTTCTGTCAGCTTCCAAGTCTTGTTTCTCTCTATAGCATCAAGTTCTTCTTTCATGGCCTTCAGCCAGAGCTTCTGCTTAAGAGCCTCCTCTGTACTTATAGGTTCAGAGTCTACTAACATGGCACACTGAATAACTTCTCCTTCAGAGTCTACTTCAGTGTCTTGCAGCATGTCAAATTCTGCAAATCTTCTGGGAACGCTTCTGATTCTTTGTGGTCTCTGAACTTGTTCAGAGTCTTGAGCTTCAGAGTTTCCAGCTTCAGATGATTGACCTCCAGAGCTTTGACCATCTTCAGAGTCTGGCATATTTCCAGAGTCTGAATTGCCACCAAGATCTGGATTGCCATCAGAGTCTGAATCACCAGAGTCTGGGTCATCAGAGTCACCTTCATCTTCTGAGTCTTCTTCAGAGTTTGAATCAGTATCAGAGTCAGAGTCAATATCAGGGTTTACTTCAACTTCAGAAATTCTTAACTCTGGCCTTTCTTCAGAGGTTCTAACATCAGAATCAGATTGAGACTTATCCCAATTCCAAACTTCTGATTCCTTCACAATCACATCTCTGCTGAATTCAATTTTATTGGTTTCTGGACAATAGAGCTTGTATGCACCTGTACTGTGGTACCCTATCAGAATCATCACTTTGCTTCTATCATCCAGCTTCTGTCTTCTGGCTTCTGGAACATGTTTATAGCAAACAGAACCAAACACCTTCAGATGACTAACACTTTGCTTGTCTCCAGTCCACTTCTGCATAGGAATTATTTCCTTCAACTTCTTCGTAGGACATCTGTTGAGTACATACGTTGCAGTGGCAACAGCTTCTCCCCAGAGCTTCTGAGGAAGCTTCTTCTCCTTTAGCATGCTTCTCACCATATCAAGCAAAGTACGGTTTCTTCTTTCAGCAAGACCATTGTGTTGAGGGGTATAAGGAGCAGTAACCTCATGCTCAATTCCATTCTCCTCACAGAACTTCTGGAACTCTTTGGAGTTATACTCACCTCCACCATCAGTTCTAAGAATCTTCAACTTCTGACCACTCTGATTCTCAACCTTCATTCTGAATTTCTTGAATTCATCAAACACCTCGTGTTTGAACTTAATAAGGGATACCCATGTCATTCTTGTGAATTCATCAACAAACAACACAAAGTATTTATTCCCTCCAATTGATGCTACTGGAAATGGACCACATACATCAGAGTGTACAACTCCCAAGGCATGTTTTGCTCTTGGAGCAACTTCTGATGCAAATGGCAATCTTGGTTGTTTTCCTTCCATGCAAACTTTGCATGACTTTTCAGGCTTCTTAATTGCAGGAATTCCATGTACCAATTTCTTTGAATTCAGATGTTGTAAGCTTCTGAAGTTCAGATGACCAAATCTTCTGTGCCACAGCTCACTCTCCTTCTCAGTACTTGTTGCACTAAGACACTCTGAGTCTGCAGTTCTGACATTCACCTTGAATGTTCTATTCCTTCCCTGTTCTGACTCCATAATCAGCTTCTGATTACAGTCATACAGCTTCAGAAGATTGTCCTTCATTGTAACTGAGAAACCTTTCTCAATTAATTGTCCCACACTCATCAGATTGCTTCTGATGCCAGGTACATACCACACATTCTGAATCAATGCTATTTTCCCATTGTTCAGAGTAACTCTGACATTTCCTATACCTTCTGCATTAAGATATTTGTCATCAGCACATCTGATCTTTGTTCTCTTTTCAGAGTCAAAGTCAACCAGCCATTTCTTGTTTCCAGTAAGATGATTTGAACAGCCAGTGTCCATATACCACCAGTCTGTCAGATCCACATTATCAGATTCAGAGGCCATCAACAGCACAGATTCGTCATCAGAACTTCTGGCTATATTTGCTTCTTCTGATTTCTTCTCCTTGTTTGACCAACAATCTCTAGCAAAATGGCCAAACTTCTTGCAACAGTAACATTGTATTTTTCTTTTGTCATACTTCTCTTTTCCCCTCTGAGCATTCTTTTGTCTATCAGAGGTTGAGCTTTCTGACTTCTGACCACCATCAGATCTTCTCCTGGCTTCTGACTGCTTCTGATACCTCCTATCAGAAGTTGCTTTCAGAGCCTGCTGTTCTACTTCCTTTTCAGAGTTTCTCTCAGTCAGACGCAACTCTTGCGCTTCTAGACTGCTCTGCAGCTCTTCAATTCTCATTGTGCTCAGATCTTTGGAATGTTCTATTGCTACCACAATGTAATCAAATTGAGGAGTAAGGGATCTCAATACTTTCTCCATGATTGTTTCTTCAGAAAGAGTTTCTCCACATGCCTTCATCTCATTAGTGATCAGAATCACTCTGGAGATGTATTCAGAAACTTTCTCATTATTCTTCATGTTGAGATTCTCATATTGCTTTCTCAAGGACTGAAGCTTCACCTTCTTCACTGATGCGTCACCACCATAACATCTCACCAGAGTGTCCCATGCAGCCTTTGCTGTTGTAGAGTCTGCAATCTTCTCAAACACGTTTACATCCACACATTGATGAATGAAGAACAATGCTTTCTGATCCTTCTTCCTTACTTCCTTCTGCGCGTTTTTCTGTTCATCGGTTGCATCTGCTGCTACTGGAACATAACCATCAGTGACAAGATCTAGAACATCTTGAGCACCAAATAGTACACGCATTTGGATCATCCAACGATTCCAGTTTTTACCATCAAATACTGGAAGTTTGGTGTTCATGTTGCCGTTTCCGTTCATCTTCTACTTTGCACAATACACTCAGATTTCTCACACAGTGTTTCCCAACCCACAGAATAAAAATTCTGATCAGATTTTGTTCAAGATTCAACACGAATCTAAGAATCAAAATCAAACACACAAGACCTCACGTTCACTCGTGTTTCCCAATGAATCTGAACCGGAGCTCTAGATACCAATTGTTGGTGCAAAGGTAGAATAAATGATGAAAGGTAGAAATATTCTATTTAAGAGAATGACGGCTACAAAACATGATAAAAGTTACAATGATTGTCACCCTATTTATAGGCTAAAACTAGGGTTACTAAAATAGGATAAAATACTAAAATGCCCTCTAACAAACTTATGGGCTTAAGAAAATAATATAATAAAATATGAATTATTACTAATAATACCCACTTAAAAAAGCCAAGCCTAAAATATTTAAGTGATGTACAAAGGAGATTAGGCCTAATACCCACTTAAAAAAGCCAAGACTAAAATATTTAAGTGATGTACAATACCGCTTAAAAAAAATAAAAATAAATAAAAAAGAGAAACTTGCAAACCAAGACAAACCAAGCCTAAAATATTTAAGTAAAGCTAAAATAAAATACCATAAAATATATATATATATATATATATATATATATATATATATATATATATATATATATATATATATATATATATATATATATATATATATATATATATATAAATTAATTTTAAAATTCACTTTGAATATTGTTTTGATCCTTAGGTGATGACTTTGCAAACACTCTTCAAATGAAAAACCGTACTGTATTTGACAATGGTTAAGAAAAATAAGTTGGTAAATTTTTCTGCATGATAAATAGAGAGGGATAAAATAGAGGGGTATAAGGAGAAGATTATAGGCCAAATGTAGTTGACGATTATAATAAAATTAATCTTTTAGGGTTTTTATACCGTATCTTAATAATTTTTTTTTATGTTTCTTATTAAAAATAAATATAAAAATTAAAAAATTTATTATCTTCAACCCATCTCCATCTTCGATCTTCACCTTCAACCTATTTACGAATTTCTCATCCAAACCAAAATCTAAAAATTAAAAGAAACTGAAGAGAGTTACATACATTAAAAGAAAAGTTTAAGTTTGGAGATGAAGATGAATGTGGATTGAAGATGAAGATAGCAAATTTCTTTAACAACGGTTTAGTTTTAAATAAGAACTAATTAAAAAATATAATTTGTTGTGTACCACGTGATCAGGCAAAAGTTGTATGGAGAAGAGTATCCTAACAAATTTATTTTGGCAAAAGTTGTATGGAGAAGTGTACCCTAACAAACATTATTTTGTACAAAAAAAAGGCTAAGAGAATAACTTGTTATAATCGTCAAACTAAAGGTGGATCCTAGAATGCGTTTTGCCGTCCTTAATATATAAAAAAGTTTATTTTCCAAATTCATCAGAAAAATTAATGTATCTAGATTAGATACATTTTTTAGTTGTTGGATTAGATACATTCTACGAAATTTACATTTTTTTCCCTTAATATTTACATTTTTTTTCTTATATTAAGAAAAAGAGGGAGTAATAACAAATAATCACAATGCTTCAACATTAATATACACACTAAAAAAGAAACTAAGATTGGTTCGAAGCATTACCAGTGACAGTTGCACAGTGAGCCCAACCAGCAGCAGCTTTCACCACTGAAGCCTCAGTGGGAAGCTTGTAAGCCCCTGGATTCTCCTTCATGAAAAACATACATGCATCCACAATAAGACGCAAAATCAATTCCAACACCAAATTCATACCTAAACCAAACCCTTATTATCACAATACCAACTGCATTACCCCATGCTTTCCTGACATCATGTAGCTTTGATTCTCATCATCTGCCGATCCCCACGTTACCAGCTTCCCTTTCTCTATAAAAACAAACACTTCTTTCTCAGATTGTAATCATCGAGTTCAATGATTTGATTTTCAAAAACTTAGATCTACAATTTCTTTGAAATAGATTAACATATTGATTTGAATTTAGTCAAAGTATAGTCAATGGATCGAGAAATTAACCTGATATCGCTACGGCGAATCCACAACCACCACCGCAAATGTCTTTCCACGAATCTCCGAAAAAGGAAGGATCGGAGAGATTAACCGCCGTCGGAGACAGTATCGGAGCTTTCTCCGACGATGCTCCAGGAAGGTAACCCCACATGTAAACCGTTTTCTCTGTTGAATCCTCCTCATCTACCACCTTTGCATCCACCGCGGCTTCGTTTCCGTTCATGGTGATGAAACCCTCCGATCTAAAAAAGAAAAACTCGAAGCTCAAAACGCAGAGAGAATGAGAATGAAACGACGATACGTTGTGTGTGATGGGGTTAGATGGAGAAAGGTTCGTCCGTAAATATGAAGGACGAGAGTGATGCGTATCAATTACGAGGCTAAATTGGTGCCACGTTGGATGGTGACGTGGAGGTTATGACACGTGGCGTAATCCAAGCCGCAGTTACGGATTGCATATTTGAAACGCGCGATTTGGTGTGGAACTCTCGGGAAATGAGTGGGGACATGGTTTTGGGTTCTTCGAGGCGGTTCTTTGTCAGTGAGACGTGTGTCTTGTTACGCTAAAGCTTTTCTTTTTGCTGGAATTAAGATGGACATGTTGCTATACATCAAAAGAAAATGGTTATTTTTATATTTTTGAATAAATCAATTTTTCTAACTATTAAGACTAATATTAAATTATATAGTTTTGATTCTTTTTAGCCGAGTGAATATAATGAATAAAGAATTAAATAAAACTTTGACATATAAATTTGATGGAACAACCACATTTCAATTCTAAAAGTGGAATATAACATTAAAAAAAAAGAATGATATGTATAAGAAAATAAATTGTAAAAAAAAAATGCGAAAGCATAATCCAATAAATTTAACAAAGGATTCAAAATTAAATTATAAAAGAAAAAGTGCAAAAAGTCATAAGCATTTTAAACGAAGTAAAGACGAGTTTGAAAAATTAAATTCATCTTTTATAAAATGGTAAATGTTTCGACCATCAACACAGACAAATATATGTATCAACAACTCTTGTGAAATAAACCAAAACAAACTTAACAGTTTTTTTAATCCAATAAAACTTGAATGCAGCGAACTAACTCAAAAGCATCCTATCGAATAACAACATAACATCACATCAACGACGAGGCTATAAGCACCACAGAACCACTAGTGTATTGTCAAATTCCAAAACACAATAAAAACTCAAAATCTCAACAGATCTGAAAAAAACTAGAAATCAAAGTCAAGATTCCACCACTAACACTAGTGAATAGTAACTTGAGAAGCAAATTTAAAAACAACAATCAAAGATAGATAAAAAAACTCTGTACGGTCATTGCGAACCAGCCAGCGACACGAGAGAAGCATAAACGACCACCGAAGGACCGCAACTTAAAACAGTCTATTAGCGAGCTTTGCAAAGAGATCTTCTCCCAAAACTTTAAAAAGAACAAAACCAGCCGGCGACAAAACAGAACATGCAAAGGAACTGTGACAACGAGATCATTGGCCGTACGCCAACCCCAGAGGGGGTGAAGGGTGGGTCGGCCTAAGAGGAGTCGCACCACCATCTTGTAGATCTACATCGTTACAATAGCGTTTGGATACGGAAGGGATGGAGGAAAAAGAAAGGGGGTCGACAGAGAAAAATGAGAGAGAATTGAGCTCTGCATATTTTTTGTCCTCTTAAATCCAAGTTTGATCTGCTTATTTAATAAGCTCATTCACAAAATAAACCTATTTTTGTTTTTTAGGAAGACATTAATTGTTCCAATCAATATTAATTTTTGAGGAAAATCCTGTACTTTAATGGAATTTTTATTTTAGAATAAAAAGAAAAAAATTTTGTTCGAGAATCAGAAATGGACGCTCCAACTCCACGAAGAAACCGGAAATGAAAAGAGTTTAATAACTGTTGATATTGGACGTTGGCTCTGACATCCTCTACGGAGGCACTGAGTGAACTTTCATGGTTAACATTTCAACGCTCAAGTTAGTTCAAGATACAAGATGAGTATAATTAAATTGAAGATCAAAGATTGTGTACATTGCTCTTCGCATGTGAACTATTTTTATATTGTGGGTCGAGTGTAGTAGATTTGAGATGGATTGGGCGTTGGTCATTTGGGTCTTTGGCCGGTCCAAAACAGTTTCCCTTAAGGCTTTGTCGGACACTTAAGGAGGAGGGTTGAAGCCTTAAGTAATGCAGACCGACCTCTAAGACGGGGTCTAGTGGGAAAGAATTGAAATGCTTCAGGATTTGTTGAAAGAGTAGTGGGGACAAGAGCATTAAATGATTTTTTGTCTTAAGAACGCTTTGATGCCTATTACTGACACGTCATCCTAATGACCTAAGGGAGGCAATGATTTCTCTATTTAGGACACTTGAGTGTTTCTATCATTGATCGGCGTGTCAATTACCCTTGGATTAATATTCCACTTTAATCTGGACCATTAATATTTGACTAACTTTCCTATAAATTTGGGTTTTGCCCCCTATAACACTTTAAACCGCGAAACTTATATATAAAGGATTACTCGACAATTTAAGGTATCACCAACGACAATCCTTCAAATAAACATAGTCATTTAGAAAACATGCAGCAGAAAAGTAAACAATATACAACACATGTCAACGCATACTCACCTTCACTTAGGATATCATCGCAGCGAAAATTATATTTAATTCAACAATAAAACATAACAACTTCCACTTTGGTCTTATAAAAATTTAACTTTCACAAAGTTATTCAATTGAAGTTATAACATCGAACTCATAGCAACTTAAAAACAACTCAATAAAGAAGTATTAAGCTTCTACAAAACAAAGTGTGCCAACTTCAATCATAATAAAAATGCCTCATCCCCGATGTTATAGAATCAGAGCACTAAACCTATAAGGAAGCGATAAATAAGTGAAAATAACTCCAAGATTTATCTTCCACTTACAATAACAACTTCTAATCTTGGTTATCTGCAAGATGTCTATGGTGGAAAACATGAAGCAAAAGGGGTGAGAAACAACATTCAATATAAACAGTGTAAAGAATGTTAAGATAGAGACCATACAACAAATACCCATTAATTACATAATCAACAACGGTATAGTCTCACACCCATTTACAAAAACATCCACGTATTTGTAAGAGCAAGAATTGTCTATACATGATATCTCTATGTTTTGATGATAACAATTAAGTATTTATGAAAGAATCATTTTATGTTCTAATGGTTATTGTGCGCAGATCATTAAATAAATATATCAAATCAACAAAAAATATCAAGAAGTGCATGAAAGCCAATATGAAGTTACTTTGTGTGACGTGACTTAAAGCATAACTTTCAAGGAAACTCTGAACGAAGAACAAAGTGAAACTCTGAGTGAAGTACCATGTGATATTCTGGATAAAGAACTTAAAGCGCCTACTCAAGAAACAGTTTGCCACTGTATCTGATCATAATCAGAAAGATACAAAGATGTTGTATATTGTTGTTGCAATGCTCTTGTAGATTCTGTTCTGAGAAGTGTATTTGATCTGGAAGCTATCAATGCATCTGAGATGTAGTCCTCTGAAGAGTCAAGCTCTGAAGACTCTAATGACTTGAAGCTCTGAAGACAGAATTCTCTGAAGCAGAATACTCTGAAGACCAAGTGCAGAAAGACTCTGAAGACTTAAGGGTTCTGAAGATCAAGACTCTGAAGAAATAATCTTCTAAAGAATTATGTTCTGAAGAATCTGATGACTTGAATTTCTGAAGACTCTGAAGACTAGATTCTGAAGTTGAAGATTATGTAGCAACACCCAGATGTATACGTGTTAATAAACTCTGGTAAACAAGTTCTGAAGTAAGACTCTGGTGTTATTACACTATCATACCAAAGTAGTTTCTAAACTTATATAGAAGTGAATGGAAGATTCTAGAGGCCCATAGAAAGCCCAGAATGTGATATCCAAAAATCAATTTTAGCTTGAAAGTTCAATCATGGTGTACACGAATCTGAGTCAATTCCTTCTCCAAGAAGCTTCTCATGCCTTGCTTGTGAACTATTGAGAGTGTATGGATCAAATTGAGTCCTTGTTTGCACCATATGACCAACCTTTAATGTGTTACTTATTCATGAAGTAACAAAGTGAAATGTCATGAAACATGCCCCAAATTGACTTTCTAATATTGCCATTGTGTTCAAAATGATGTTTTTGATCAAAATGAGCACTCATTTGGTCTTGTTTGAACACACATGATTTAATTTGAATTTTTTCACTTAAATGCCTTTAAAAATGCCCTTTACCAATTTCCTTCAAACCAATTCTTGCCCTAAGATAAATCAATACATCCTTTATACATGGTTGACCTAAAAATCCCATTTTGAACAAGTTTCATGTTGGAGAAAACTTCATTTGAAGTGTGCAAGATAGAGAAAATGACCTATAATGCCAAATGACCTATAATCTCACTTTCCCAAAATACCTCTGACTTGTAATCCTCATAACTTGAGTTATACAAATCAGATGGAAGACTTCTAGTACAATTTGGAAAGCTAAGATCAAGAACTACAACTTTCATGTTGGCCAAAAGTTAAGGAGAAACAACCTTCTAGGTCAAAAGTTCCTTGGAAGTTAGTTGACTTTTGTAGACAAATTTCACATTCATCTGATGACCTGTAACTTGTCTGGATCATAACTTGAGTTCTATAAATCCAATCAAGGACTTCTAGTACTTAAATTAAAGCTAAGAACATTCTCTACAAGTTTCATGTTGGCCAAAAGTTGATATGAAACTTTTATCTTGAGATAAGTGGTCTTGAAGTCAGGCACTAAATAGGGGATTTTACCCTGAGAACCCTAGTTTAGCAACTCCTCACACTTTGAATTCTTCTTGAATTGATCTTGGAATATCACCTAATGTATCTCAACAAAAATTTCCATGATCACAAAGACTTAGAAATAGGTTTTGATCCTCTTCAATTACACAGTTGACTTAAGGTTACTTAGATGAAAACCCTAATTGCAACACCTTCAACTGTGGCTCTTCATACTTAGCATAACGACTTGACTGAGCTCCACCATGACCCTCAAGGCACTCCATGAGCTCTATCCACATACCCTATCCATGATCAAAGCTTCACAACCCACTGATGGTCTTCCATTGGTCCTCAGGTTAGGAGATGGACCCTATACAAGCAACCAAACTTCTCAAGAACACAACCCTCTTCCTGATGAC